AATTGTGCTTAATTACATGCAAGTAACCCTAAACCACACCCTAATCCTAACCCTGACCCCATACATAGTAAGTACATGTAGTTAATTATTATTACTCAGCACTTAAATAACACGGACACTTTAAAGTACAGTGTAACCGAACAAGTTCTTGCTGTTTTGAGTAAAATCATTTCATTTCTGTATACAGACATTGTCATGTAGTATACAGACATTGTCATTTAGTATACTTGATTAGTATGCCACCAGAGGCTTTGTTAATGACCTATGGCACCTCAGAGACTTTTGAAACTGTATGTTTGCTAACTATCGCACATTCTCAAAGCTCTGAGAAAAACAAGTCGCAAATGAAGACTATGGGGAAATGGCACACATCACTAAGTTTATGATACAGTGTCTGTTTGTATTTCTTACGATAAACAGCATATCATGTAAATGAGAGAGGATGGCGGAAAAAGAAATGGACATATAAAGCAACAAAGAGTCAAATAACATTCCCTGTATCAAATTTTTCCAAATAATCCCACTTACTCTTTTCTGTGAGGCAGAACTGTTGCCAACTGTTGGTAGCACCTGTTTGATTCAGTGATAGTAAACTGATGGCATTCTCATGCTCTCATATAATTTGTAAGACGCACATGCTGAGAGGTCAAAGTTCAGTTCTGTTCTGCCTTGCAGCAAACTATAAACCATTAAGCATGCCATAGTTTTTTTTTAATTACTTTTACATTATGTTTTCACTCTTTTTTTGATAAAACTGCCAAAAGTTAAAACAATTTATACACATTTTCTGTAACACTATTCAGTAAGGTTCTATTTATTATTTGCTTCATTAGTAAACATGTACTAACAATAAAGCATATAATAACCTTAGTTAATGTTGATTTAAACATTTATGAATATCAAAAATACTGTTGTGTTTTTGAATACTGTTAATATTATTGAATGGACCTGAGCTGACATGAAATAACAATGAACAGTTGAATTTTTATTAACAGACATTGACGTTAAAATCAATAAATACTGTAACAAACAAACTTTGCTCAGCATTAAAGGTGACCTATAATTCAAAATTGAATTTACCTTGGTATAGTCAAATAACAAGAGTTCAGTGCATGGACATGACATAGAGTGAATCTCAAACTGGACTGTTTTCGCGTTCTCATTTAATTCACGTTTATGAAAAACACCCCTGAAAAACGGTCGGTTCTCCACACAATACCGACTGTGACGCAATAGTCGGGATCATTAATATGTACGCATCCAAATATTTGCATATGCCAGCCCTCAATGCCAGACGGAACTGCGCAGCCGAAGCATGGCAGTTGCTCAGTGTGGATGTACCAACACAGTCTCATCCCAAGGCGTCATCTAACTGACGCTTCTGACCATGCGTCAACATGCCGACGCACACACCACCCCCCAAACGTCAACATGAGACGCTCATCCTCGGGCGTCATCAAATGCCGCGCACCCTTTAGCGTCAGTTAGATGACGCTTCCGTTATGGGTAGGTTTAGGTCTGGGGTAGGGTTAGGATTAGACCACTAGGAGGCGCGTCTCATATTGACGCTCAAGGGGTACCCTGTGCGTCGGCATATTGACGCATGGCCAAACATGGTCAAAAGCATCAGTTAGATGACGCCTTGGGTGTGAGACTGAGCTGGATGTACACATGAACACAAAAGTATTTTTTAGTTCCTTCATCTGAGCCTCTGAAGAAACAATGGGTTAATTTTATTTTCTCTGGAAATTTCCAAACATTTCACCGACGACTGTTTCCTCAACTTGGGCCAATACAGAGCTGGCCTCGGATCGAGCTTTATCGAGCTACCAAGCAACACTTTCTGATGTGTAATTGTTCAAGTTCAGACAGTTCTTTCTCTCAAAATCGTTCAATACTGTTTATGCATCAGTAAGTCAAGCCAGTGACTAAAATATCAGCTTCACATCGTTTCTTTTAGTAGGATGAAAATAATCGTATTTAAATTGTGAACAAATTATATACAGAAAGCGATCAAAGAACAATCTTTCCACACAGCGCGAGTTTATCTGGACACTTGCCAAACTCGTTATGAAATCAATGACGCACGTTACTGCACAACGAAGCTCTTACTGTATTTACATCATCGTGTTTGCATTGGTGAAAGCAGAGAGAGTGCAGAAACTGCTTTGCAATGATAAGATCTTCATTCTCGCGATCAACACACTGTCATCTGCTCAATGCTCATCACGGCAACATTTTATGTGATGGGAATAGATCTAAATACTTTAAAAACATCTCACGATTCGTTAATCTCGATAGCTGTTATAGTAAAAACGTATAAAAGCAGTAGTAAAAGTATTCGGGAGAGAGTTTCACATGTAATGCGTAGCTATTTCATATGCAAGCATGTCAGCCAATCACAGCAGTGGCCGCGGTTACACTGAATCCCACAGCAGACACGCCCCTTCAAACAGAGTGTTCAAATCAGAGGCTAAAAGCAGGCTAGGAAAAATGCCATTTATTTCTAAAGTATGATTATTTTTTATCTAAAAAACATACTAACATTATAAGGGTAACCCAGGAAACATTATAAAATAATAAAAAAAAACATACTAGGGCACCTTTAAATGTTAGTTAATGCATTAACTAAAGTTAACTAATGGAACCTTAAGTGTTACCAAAATATCACAAAAAACACTATAAACACCAAGTGCTAAATAAACTGCAATTTTAAAATGATCATTTATAAATTCTTAGCTCATAACATACTCGACATAATCAATAACAACAACAACAACAATAATAATAATAATAATAATAATAATGTTTTTAAAAAATGTTACACACGTTTAAAAAAAAAAAATCAAAAGGTACAATATGTACCATTCAGGTAATACCTCTCGAGCAATGTATAAATGTATGCTGAAATATAATTAAATAACAGGTTGTTTGTTTTTTCAAAACATCTATGATGTGCATTATGTGTGGTGAGTTGGCTTGAGTGATTTATGTTTCGTGCTTCAGAACGTCTGTATGGGAACATAGGGAGCATCGATGCTCCCTGGTTTTCACGGTGCATTGTAGGGTGAACGTTTCAGTGCACTGGAAGTATTTTGCAATTGAGACAGCCCTTAAAATGACAGATTCCCTGATTAGTGCCCTGACTACTGAACTAGGGATGCTTAAAATGCATCCTTTGGAAGCTTTGGACAGGTGAGTTTGATCAGGGTTGGATTAAAACTCTACAGGAAAGTGGATCTTACGTACTGCTTTAGGTAGGCTACTAGTTTTTAACAATTGCTAAGACACATTTCTTGAAATCTTCTCTCATTTTCTCACAACTTTAAACACAAAACCAATCTTCAAACTATATTCACAAAACCCCTGACTCTTATGGCAAAATCAAAAACAATTGCCTCAAAACAAATTTAACCAGTTCTTAAAATCAAACAATGCTTTCAGATCATACACAGCCAATCAATATATAAACACTAAATTGCATTTATTAAACACTACATCAAAAACTGTAGATCATGTAGTTACAGAAAAAAATTATATTGTGTACAGTAAACTAATTTCGAAATTACATAAAAAGTATAGTAATCACAATTTTGTAGGGTGAAAGTATTGTGTACTATTTGTACTGCATTGAATTGAATATTTTATAGTATTGAATGTCTGCAAAAGCCCAAAAGGTCAAAGAATACTCTAAATGAAAAGTACGTTACAGTATACTCAAAAAAATGTTAGGAGAGTGGAAGAGAGCACTGTTCATTCACCCCACCTTTCCTACTGAGACTCGAACCCACAAACTTCGATTACAAGTCTGACTCTCTAACCATTAGGCCACAACTGTACACTCAAAAAAGTTGTGCAACTGCAAAATCAATGTCAATGAGAGATTCATTCTGCCTCAGAACGTCTTCATGTTGGGTCCGGTCTAAGGACATCACATCTAAATCCTTAGGCTGGACCCAACATGAAGACGTTCTGAGGCAAAATTAATCTCTCATTGACATTGATTTTGCAGTTGCACAACTTTTTTGAGTGTACAGTTGTGGCCTAATGGTTAGAGAGTCAGACTTGTAATCGAAGTTTGTGGGTTCGAGTCTCAGTAGGAAAGGTGGGGTGAATGAACAGTGCTCTCTTCCACTCTCCTAACCACAACTGAGGTGCCCTGATTTTTGGGAAATATCAACTTTATTCAACAATCTCTTCTCTTCCATGTCATTCTCCTTCGCTATTCACTTAGTGTAAACAGTGCAGTGCTTCCAGGTTTTGTTGTTTTGTTTGTTTGTTTGTTTTTTGCACACAAAAAGTATTCTCGTCGCTTCATAAAATTAAGGTTGATCCACTGTCGTCACATGGACTATTTTAACGATGTCTTCACCACCTTTCTGGGCCTTAAAAGTTGCAATGACGTTGCTGCCTATGGCTAGTTCAGAAACTTCTTGGATTTCATCAAAAATATCTTAATTTCTGTTCCAAAGATGAACAAAGGTCTTACGGGTTTGGAATGACATGGGGGTGAGAAATGAATGACAGAATTTTCATTTTGGGTGAACTAACCCTTTAAGGTACTAATATACACCCTTTAGAGGCAAATTAATGTTCAAAGTTGTACCGCCCCAGTGACAACTTTTGTACCTTTTTTTTTCTGAGAGTGTATAAAGAACTGATTATCCCTGGAGCCGTGCATCAGCTGTTTTACATCATTCCCTTCTATATATTCATAAACAATTGTCGGTTAACTGGCATATATCTGTGTTTGAAGCAGAATGCACTTTATGGTACCTTGTGAAAGAGGTATGCAATCTAGTGTGCCTTCGTTCTAAATTTTCTTAACCAGCCGATGACAGGTTGATTCTGGAATTATCAAACGAAACTCCTTTGGTTGATTACAATTATCAAAATTATCTGCATTTTTCTTTTGAAAAATGTGTATTTACATTTAAACTGTGAATTATGTATTGTGTACATACAGATTTCTAAAACTGTTCTACGGACTTTAACTCATCATGCCAGTGGGAAACGTCAGCTTTGTAAAGGATTTTGTCATAATCGGGTTTCCAGCCTCATTACTATGGCCTTTTATCAGCACTCCTGTTTTTTGTTTATGTGTTTACAATGGTTGGGAATGCTGTATTTTTTACATTGTTTGTAATGACTAAGAGCCTTCAGAAGCCTGTATATTATTTCATTATAAATCTTGTTGTGTGTGATGTACTATTCAGCACCACTACATTGCCAAAGATAATTAGCAGGTATTGGTTCCAAGATGGGACCATTTCATTCTTGGGTTGCTTTATTCAGATGTTTTTTGTGCACTATTTTGGCTCAGTCACTGCACGTTTGTTGGCAGTAATGGCTATAGATCGCTATGCAGCAATCTGTTTCCCATTTCGTTATCATAGTATCATGACAAACAGAAATGTACTCCTTTTGATTCTGGGCTCTTGGATGTTGGGTTTGGTAGGCCCTTTGATGATGGTCATTCGAGCTTACCCTCTCCCTTATTGTGCAAGTAACACCATTGTGCACTGTTACTGTGATCATATTGCCATCACAACACTGGCATGCACAGACAGAGAAGAATATAGTTATCCAGCATTCATTCATGCTATGATAGTACTACTGGGTTCTCTTGCTGTTATTGTTTTCTCTTACTGCGCCATCATTGTGGTAGTTCTGCGTATATATAGCGCTCAAGGAAGGATGAAGACTTTCTCCACCTGCAGTCCTCAGCTCATCATAATTGCTCTTTTTTTCCTACCCAGGTGTTTTAATTATTTATCAAGCAATTGTCACAGGTCGGGGGGGGCAAGCCAGACTGCGCCCACCCCTCAAACCCAGGACCACCGAGGAGCGTACCAGAGACCAGGCAGACAAGAAGAATTTCTAAAAATAACAATCTTTATTGAATAAAAACAAGAATTAAAAGTCTTAATGCGGGCTTCGTCTCTCTTTCCAGGGAGGAGGAGGCCGAGGGGTTCACTGTGGAGGCCCGGGTTACTGGCAGCCACGGAGGAGGGGGCCGAACGCCCGTTTGGCGTGCAGGTAAGTAACGTGGTAAGGAGGCTCTTTTCGGCGTAATACAGGCGGACGACGGTCCGGGCAGACCAGGGCCGGGACCACGGGCCAGGAGGGGACTCTCTCCACCGGACAGGTGGGTAGCAGGTAAGTTTTTCCCAAGCGTCAGCTATTCGGGAGGTGATCGGCACAGGGGGCGATGGAGTCCAGGAGGAGGACTCGCTGCCGGTCAGGTAGGTAGTCGGGTAGGCAGGTCTCCTCCGTGTAGGGTGCTCTCCCCCGTGGCATCACTGAGCAGCAGGTGTGAGGTCCCCCGAGTGCCTTTCCGCCCTTGACGGCTCCAGCCAGAGACAAGGGTACCCTGTATAATCCAGGACAGAGACAAGTGTGCAGGTTCAATTCTATTTCGGTGAAATATGGACTTACGGCTGGAGCGGGTGGTTCGGGACAAGCAGCGCTGCTGCTGGGGTGTGTCTCTCCTCTGAACAGGCAGCGCACGAGAAGGCCGAGGCAGAAGAATCTTCTATTTAAATAGGCAAAGCCTTTGATACAAGAACGAACAGGATCCTTTCGTATAATGGAGAATCGGCTTACGGCTGGACTGGGTTGCTCCACACAGGCACTAGGGCTGGGGTGTGTCTCTCCTCCGAACAGGCAACACCCAAGAAGGCAGTGGCAGAAGAACCTTAAATAGACGGAGCATTTGATACAAGAACAAACATGATCCTTTCGTATAATGGGGAATCAGGCTTACGGCTGGGCTGGGTGGTTCCCACGGTAACACGAAGGCTGGGGTGTGTCTTTCCTCTGAACAGGCAGCACACAAGGCGGTGGCAGAGGAATGTTCTATTTAAATAGACAGGACAAGTTAAACAGGACAATCACACTCCTCTCCCATATCATAGGACCTGGTGGCCGAAGTGGAACATACTCATCCAACCTGAGGGCTTCGTTCCGCAAACACTGGCGAGAATGTGAACTGGAGAATAACTGGCGGTTAAATAAACATGTACATCCACACACTGCAACTTCACGTCAAGTCCAATACTGTGTGACACTTCAATTCAGGCACCGCAATCCACTCTCAAATCTTAGTGCAATAAGGCCAGCACTCACCCAATGTTCAATCCCTCCACTGTTGCGCTGATTCAACACTCAGAAGCTGATGAGATGCAGAGGATTTCGCATCGCATGGAACACAGCGTCTTCAACACTCTTTCACACGCAGAAGATATCAGGGTTTCAAAGATGAATCAGTTCACACTCTTAGTGGTAATTATATTTGTGGTCAACACACTTCACAATTCCTTATCCAATTCAGTGCAAGACATGCATTTACACGGATCCGGTGTTTCATTACTTATCTTTCTCCCTCAAGTGATGGCATTCTCCAATCTTGACTCAATCTCCACAATTCACTCACTTCACATCGAATTCACGTTCCAGCTTGCACTCCCTCAATCACCGTTGCACCCCTTTCCAGTCAGATCCTCACAGCCGCTCCAAAGATCCCAGCAAACCCAAGCCACTGCCAAAGGAATCGATCTCTCCCGGGGGAGTACCACACTCAAATGCCTTTTCCTTTTCCTTTTAACTGCCTCTCTGGGCCGTGTTTTCCCAATCACAGATCCCCACACCAAACACCCGCACCTGGCACCGCTTAGCTAATCAGCTGCCGCTGTCATGGCAACTGACAACAAGCAGACCAGCACGGTGTGCCGGTGAAATCGTCCCGGGGGGAAACACACTCCTAGCGGAAATTAGTTCCGCTAGATTTGTCACCTTGTGACACACAATATTAATATAAAGTTCAGTACTGATTTGCGATTAGTCATTATTATGATGTATAGTCTGCTACCACCCATGATCAACCCCCTCATTTATTGTTTGAGAACAGATGAGGTAAAGAAGGTTTTTATCAGACAAATTCAAAGAAAAAAAGTAGACCTCAAACCAGGGCAGAGCTGATTGTACCAATATTTTTCTGTAGCTTGTTTATTTTATTCACAGCTCATCAGCACCAACACACACATTTTAGTCCCATCTGCCCTCTTTACAAGTGCTGCTTGTTGACTTATTGGTGATGTGCAGTGTTGGGAAAGTTCATTTTCTACATGAACTAGTTCAAAGTTCAGTTCACAAATTTTAAAATGAACTAGATCAGGTTATAGTTCATACTTCAAAAAATGAACTAGTTCATAGGTCTTTTTTTCCATAATTATGTTGCTGCCAGCTTTTTTTTAAATTTTTTTAATTATTGCCACAGCCCATATACAACCACAGACAGGAATTATTTTATCGACGGGCAAAGTTTGCACAGAAATGTAAGATTTTTCCCATCCTCACCGACCTTGTCATACAACTCGTTTAAATAATCATACGACGCCTCCTCGCTCGCTGCTTTGTCGAATACATGCTGCTTTTTGTCTTGATGACGCATGCGGCTAGCCTGGCTCCGCCCTCCTACGCACTTCCGCTCAATTTCATTTTCCTTCAGTACTACGTCTGGGATTGTGCTGTAGACTTTGGTTTTCTCCGATCAATTTTTTGTAGGGCCAATCAGCGAACAGAGGGAGTGGCTGAGAACGATGACGTCGTGCGTTATTTTGAGTTGTAGTTCAGTAATGGCAGCGGAGAAAGATGCGAGCGAAGCCATTCGGTCCGTTGTAGCAACGCTGCCGAATATTAAGAAGTTAAAGCCGGAGCAAGAACAATCTTTGCTTAGGTTTATTTTGGCCATGATGTGGCCCTCCTCCCCACGGAGTTCGACATACATCACGAGCAAACGTTAGCGATTGGTGGCAGATCCAGAGTGACTCTGGGCAGATCCAATAGTTTTAGACTTCAATAGAGTACCCGCCTACAAGGAAGTTAACGATTGTCAATGGAGCGGTGCCAGACTCTCTGTACAAATGCAATGTACGAGAGTCTGGTAAAACCAGGCTAGCATGCGGCGGCCGCGGTGCGACACTGGTAGCTGGTGTTGCCAGATTGGGGTTTTTTTCCGCTACATATTAAGGCCTGTTTACGTGTGTTTTAGCCGGGTTTTCGCCTGGAAGGCTCTATAGAAATCTGGCACCCTATTGAACACAGTTAAACTGAGAGAGCGTGCGTTCACAGACACCAGAATGAACGCGTTCACAGTAACGTTCATCAGGCAATTCAGCAGAGATGGAACCAAGTCACACATGTGCAAGTCTCAAGTAAGTCTCAACAAGTCTAACCTTCAAGTCTCAAGTATTTTTTTCCAGGGCAAGTCAAGTCAAGTCACAGGCTATGTCAAGTCAATTCAAGTCAAGTCCAAGTCACCTTATTGTTGTAATTTTACCTGCAGAATTTGATCTACGGGCGTCAGTTTGGTTTGAAATGAACAGAGGCGCATTCGGAAGTGCATTTGGGTACAATGTTTTGAAAGACGGTGTCCTGTAGCTTACTAATTTAAAGAAATAAAAATGTATACAAAAATGTGATGTCCGACTTCTTTTATAGGCGGCGAGCTACATAGGCCTACCGTGCACCCCCCCCCACCTCCCAACAAAACCATACTTTTCTGAAAGGTCTGGATGTGTAGAATATGAATCTGAATGTTAACATTGAAAATTTTGGGTTGCACTACCTGTTTTAGGTCTGTGAATAGGGAAACCTTAAAAAACGATTTTAAGCGATTTTAACACGTCGAAATTGGCCTAGTCAATCAGAACTGCTTTTAGGTGACCCATTACACACTCAAACTTAACATATGATGACTTAGGTCAAAGGGCACCCTATACTGCTTCCTGGTAAGTGACTAAAATTAATATAGTTAAGGCCTTATGTTGATTTAATGAGCCCATTTCCTATATACACACATGAAGGGCCAATCCCAAAGTGAGACCTGAGGACTAAGGACTAAAGACTCACAGACTTAATTGATCTCAGGTGCTAAGTGAGTGAGTGTGTGAGACCACATGGGCTCAGATAGGTATAGATGGGATTGGAACAGCACTTCACAATGTTTAATAACAAAGACGTTGCTGACACGTGCACCATCTACGTGTGTCGTGCTGTTGTTTACCTTTGTAATTTCCGGATTTCCCATGCACACAGACACACAATAACTATATACAAAAACTACAAACAACATGGAAAAGAACTATATACAGCATGCAAGCATGCACCCAGACACACAATAACTATATACTAGAACTACATACAGCATGGAAAATAACTATATACAGCATGCACACAATATTGGGGATATTCAAATTAAATGACCCATCATACCACTGATCAGCTCTACCAAACTTGGATGTCTTTTCCAGTAATAAACAAACACTGTTAAGTTGTTTTGATTGATACTGTGAAGCAGCTTTGATACAATCTGTATTGTGAAAAGCGCTATATAAATATATTTGACTTGACTTGACTTGACACACACACACAAATTCACAAGAACTATATACAGCATGCACACAGACACACACAATAACTATATACAATAACTACATACAGCATGGAAAAGAACTATATGCAGCATGCACACAGACACACAAACGCACAATAACTATATACAAGAACTACATATAGCATTGAAAAGAACTAAATACAGCATGCACACACACACAAATTCAAAAGAACTATATACAGCATGCACACAGACACAAAATAACTATATACAAAAACTACAATCAGCATGGAAAATAACTATATAGTCTACAGCATGCACACAGACACACAAAATAACTAGGCCTATATAGAAAAACTAAAATCAGCATGGAAAAGAACTACAGGTCCTTCTCAAAAAATTAGCATATTGTGATAAAGTTCATTATTTTCCATAATGTAATGATAAAAATTAAACTTTCATATATTTTAGATTCATTGCACACCAACTGAAATATTTCAGGTCTTTTATTGTTTTAATACTGATGATTTTGGCATACAGCTCATGAAAACCCAAAATTCCTGTCTCAAAAAATTAGCATATCATGAAAAGGGTCTCTAAACAAGCTATTAACCTAATCATCTGAATCAACTAATTAACTCTAAACACCTGCAAAAGATTCCTGAGGCTTTTAAAAACTCCCAGCCTGTTTCATTACTCAAAACCGCAATCATGGGTAAGACTGCTGACCTGACTGCTGTCCAGAAGGCCATCATTGACACCCTCAAGCAAGAGGGTAAGACAGAAAGAAATTTCTGAACAAATAGGCTGTTCCCAGAGTGCTGTATCAAGGCACCTCAGTGGGAAGTCTGTGGGAAGGAAAAAGTGTGGCAAAAAACGCTGCACAACGAGAAGAGGTGACCGGACCCTGAGGAAGATTGTGGAGAAGGACCGATTCCAGACCTTGGGGGACCTGCGGAAGCAGTGGACTGAGTCTGGAGTAGAAACATCCAGAGCCACCGTGCACAGGCGTGTGCAGGAAATGGGCTACAGGTGCCGCATTCCCCAGGTCAAGCCACTTTTGAACCAGAAACAGCGGCAGAAGCGCCTGACCTGGGCTACAGAGAAGCAGCACTGGACTGTTGCTCAGTTTTGCATGTCATTCGGAAATCAAGGTGCCAGAGTCTGGAGGAAGACTGGGGAGAAGGAAATGCCAAAATGCCTGAAGTCCAGTGTCAAGTACCCACAGTCAGTGATGGTCTGGGGTGCCATGTCAGCTGCTGGTGTTGGTGCACTGTGTTTTATCAAGGGCAGGGTCAATGCAGCTAGCTATCAGGAGATTTTGGAGCACTTCATGCTTCCATCTGCTGAAAAGCTTTATGGAGATGAAGATTTCATTTTTCAGCACGACCTGGCACCTGCTCACAGTGCCAAAACCACTGGTAAATGGTTTACTGACCATGGTATTACTGTGCTCAATTGGCCTGCCAACTCTCCTGACCTGAACCCCATAGAGAATCTGTGGGATATTGTGAAGAGAAAGTTGAAAGACGCAAGACCCAACACTCTGGATGAGCTTAAGGCCGCTATCGAAGCATCCTGGGCCTCCATAACACCTCAGCAGTGCCACAGGCTGATTGCCTCCATGCCACGCCGCATTGAAGCAGTCATTTCTGCAAAAGTATTGACTAAATTGACCAAGTATTGACCAAGTATTGACTATTGAGTGCATAACTGAACATAATTATTTGAAGGTTGACTTTTTTTTTTGTATTAAAAACACTTCTTTTATTGGGCGGATGAAATATGCTAATTTTTTGAGATAGGAATTTGGGGTTTTCCTGAGCTGTATGCCAAAATCATCAGTATTAAAACAATAAAAGACCTGAAATATTTCAGTTGGTGTGCAATGAATCTAAAATATATGAAAGTTAAATTTTTATCATTACATTATGGAAAATAATGAACTTTATCACAATATGCTAATTTTTTGAGAAGGACCTGTATTGTCCATGTGTTTCTAGCTTAGCTTTGAGCTTTTCCCCACGAAATTTGGGATTGGGGAAGTTTGTGCATTCCAGATGAGCTATGTAGATTTTGTTTAGATCAGTCAATTTCATCATTTTGTTGCTGTCGATGATTTCCTTGTCAATTACTCGAGATACAGCACCAAATGCCTCACCGTGAGCTTCTACTAGTTGGATTTGTTTGGCCTTGTTTTCTGTGCTTGCACTTCTCCATTTTTCTCAATTTTGTGTATATTGGACTCTACATGATTTGTGGTATTTAGCTTCTGTAGCAAATAGATCCTTTCCTCTAATTCTGTGAAGCAAATTTTCAGCAAATTTTTGTTCTGCAACTTTGAGGACTGTTCTCCGCCCATCACACTCAAACTCTCTTAACCCCTTAGTCGTCCATATCCCTTTATTTTTTACCTTCTTCCGTGTAATTGAGTTGCAGAATATACAGTCAGGTGTGAAGAGCACCTTGTCACCAGTTGAGGCCCTCTGACTTTGCCTTGAACTTGCTGCTAATAGTTCAGGCTTCTGGTCGAGTCTTTTGAGATTCATGGTGAATCTTTGGTAGCATTCTCTGTGATATCCATCACCTTCTGTAATGGTGTCTGGTATAAGTTCACAGGTTACAGTCATTCTGTGAGCAGATTCCAGTGGTTCAGCCAATCTCTTGTCACGTATTTCTTTCATTCTGGCTAATCTTGCATCAGAATCTGCGTTTGCCCATAATTGCACGAGTGGTCCATATACAAGACCAGGGACATGCACAATGCATCTGGACTTTGGTTTTGTCCCATGACATCCCCTATGCCTTGAAGGACCTGCAGTCACTTGGCCCACTGACTCATGTCTTGACTCAGACATAACTGAGCAGTTCAGCTATGTTGAAGAAACCAACTACATAACCGACTAGATTATCTATGTGTATGAGATATGTGTGTGTGTGTGTGTGTATGTATAAGCTACTGGACGTCTAAAATTTCCATTAGGGATTAATAAAGTATATCTCTATTAATCTATCAAATGTCATTTAAAATAATTAAAAACAAATATTTAAAGTAAGCATCAATGTAGTGTAGTAAGACGGGTCAATTATATTAAATTGTAAACTAAAATATCAAACATCGAGCAATTCAGTGAAACAAATTTCTTGCTGTATAGGAAGAGGATGCAGACTTGGAGGATCTGTCTGTGTGAGTAAGAACAGTCTTTCAGGACAGTCTTTATATACCTGTCTGACAGAGGAAACTATTAATGAAAATTCAACAAATATCTTATTTTGTCATTGGATGAACAATCCAGACAGGTTTCTGATTTGTCAGTGAGCCACACACCTTTGATGGAAAGGGTAATGAGGGTTGGAATGTTAGCACGTTAGCATATTAACTGATACTATGGAAATGGACCTTGATCGATTATATCCATACAAGGCCTTAACTATATTAAACAAAAAATAATTAAAAACAACTATTTAAAGTAACTATCAATGTAGTGTAGTAAGAGTATTGGGTCACCTAAAAGCTGTTCTGATTGACTAGGCCAATCTCGACGTGTTAAAATAGCTTAAAGTCGTTTTTTAGGGTTTCCCTATTCAGGGCTAAAACAGGTAGTGTATCCCAAAAATGTCAATGTTAACATTTATATTCATATTCTACACATCCAGACCTTTCAGAAAAGCATGATTTTGTCAGGGGAGGGGGTTGGGGTGTATGATAGGCGAATCTAGGTCGTGGCCTATGCATGAAATGGGCTCATTATATCAACATAAAGCCTTACCTATGTTAATTTTAGACACCTACCAATAAGCAGCATGGTAGATATTTGACCTAAGTCATCATATGTTAA